AGGGCTCTGTGTCTAGCTTGCTGACAGCTGCCTTCTCATTGTGTCCCCCAAGGCTCTCTTTCTCTTCTGTTAAGGGCACTAATCCCATCATGGGGGCCCCATCCTCACGACGTCATCTAACCTAATCACCTCCCAGAGACCCATCTCCAAATCCTATCACATTGGAGGTCAGGGCTTAGGCACATGAATTTGGGAGCAGCAGGGGGCCCCACAAACATTCAGTCCATACCATCCTCATGCAGTTTTAAGTTATGTTCAATGTTTCATCACAGTTTCAAAAGATATTGTTTCAACTGTATCCATAAATGATTTTTACTTTTACAGTAAAACTATTTTAAACCACTTTTTTATCCAGTGTAAGATAAACATCAGAGTAGTATGAAAACCCCATCATCATTCATTTAAAAATTACATGGGAACATTTCTCATTAGGTCAGGAATTTTCTTTTCTTTTCTTTTCTTTTTTTTTTTTAGTATTCAGATATTTTATTTAATTTATTTATTTATTTATTTTAGGAATTTTCTATCATTTCTTTTCTTTCTTTTTCAAAACTGTATTTCCATTCTATCTCAGTACGATATACTTATATATTCAAAAGTACTTAATGATCCTATTTCTCTGAACACAGACTTTGTGTATAAATTGAAATTGTTATTTACACCTCAAGGTTAAAAAAAATCCCTTCTGTGTTGAATTGTTATCACAATTATTATTATAAGTGATCATTTATTATCAAACAACATATTGGTATATTTGGACAAGTTATTACTATTGCAAAAGCATCTTTACAAGATGGACTGGGGGATGGGACACAGTGACTTGAAGAGAGAGGCTTCCCTGGCACAGCATTTCCATATTCACCCCAGAGACGTTTTCAGCTGGAACAGAGCACCCTAGTGAGATCCTGGCTCTGGTTATGTGGGAGAAGCCAAGCGTGCGAGACTAACCCAGCACCAGGCCTGCCCCGCAGTGGGTTGTTGGGCAAATCGGCTTTAGGACAGAGCTCATGTTCTGGAAAATGATTGCTCTAAAATTATCTGTGTCTCAGTCCCCTTGGCAAATCTGCAAATCTCCCCAGGAGCATGCGTGCCCATCTGAAGGGTCCTGCGTTCCTTCAAACTGTTAAATGTGGGGGTTGGGGGAGGCTCCACCACCCACAAGATAAGCCCAACATATCTACCTGGAATTCTTACAAGGAAGTCTGTGGGCTTCTCTGCTATCTGCTATCTGGAGTTTTATTGAAGTTTTAAAGCAAGAATTTGCTTCAGTCAAATACACATGGGTCCCGTTTCCAAACCCACCCCCCCCCCCCCCCCCACACACACACCTCCTGGCACAGGCCCTCAGGTGAGATGGTGGGTGGTGGTGCAGAATCAGGGAGAGGAAGAGTGGATGGGTGGGAGACCAACACCTCCCAAAGGAGTCCCCCTCAAATGCTCCTCCTCTTCATGGCTGCTCTGAAGACCCAGCCCTAAAAACTGGTTGCTCCTCTCGGAGCTCCAGGCAAGATTCCTTACAATCTACTTACCCAAGTTTAAGTTCTCACGGGCTGGTAAATGCAGTGAGCTTATTTGCAAGCCAGGGTCATATCTGCCTAGCAACCCAACATGAAGACTAGAAGGGCTATAAACATAGACAGAGAACAGGCCGGCCAACTTTGCACAAAGGAATCTGTTCTCATGCAAATGACCTGAAGCAAGAGGGCTAGAAAGAGAGAGCAGAGGGGACAGCCTCAGGAGCCAATTTATTTCCCCAGAAGATGTTGACGGCCTTCTTAAGGGGCATCCTCACAGCCTTGCCCACTGCACATGAAGGACCTCAGGGGCTCTGCTGTGCTGGGGTTACAGTACACACAACAGAAGAGGCTAAAGGGGGGGGGGCGCTGAACCCTGAACTTAATATCCTGATTTTTCTGGTTCTGTACTCCAGACTCCAAGGGTTCTTTTGTTCGTATTTAGAACTAAACAGAGTTAGTTTTGTTTGGGGGGGTTTTGATTAGCATGGTAATGCAGTGCTTTCCCTCTCTTTGCTTTCCCGGGAGGAGTGAAAAAAGCAGGGGTGTTCACACTTGGTCTCACTAGGAAAGGGACCAAGGCGAAGCCAGCCTCTAACCAGGGCGAGCAAAAGTCACTGGCTTGTGGCTGGCAAGACTGGGCAGAGATTGGGTTTCCAACCCCACCCCTTCCCCAAAGGCAGGTGGCAAATGCCATCTCTGGATGAGCTTTAGTTACAAAATGGGCCAGGGTGTGTCTATAAATGTTGTGAGACCTTGGGTGAAGCCCTCCAGGGCTCTGTGCATCAACTTTTCTCATCTGTAAAATGGGCGTAGTGTCAACTGCAGAATGTTACCAATGGGGTGAGAGTTAGATCACATGTATGGATGGCATTTAATAGTGTTGGGAACAAAGCAATCATGCAAAAAATTAATAGGTCTAATTAATATTAATAAAATAAGAGCGATTTAATGTTAGTATCATCATTACAGTTATGCCTCCCCACAGCCAGGGCTTCCACTCCGGCCAAATACTCAGATGTGACTTTCTCAATCATTCATTCACACCTAGAGCTTTTGGTATGATTTGCCTAATGTTTTAAATCAAGAAGCCCAAACGGGGCGCCTGGGTGGCTCAGTTGGTTAAGCGACTGCCTTCGGCTCAGGTCATGATCCTGGAGTCCCGGGATCGAGTCCCGCATCGGGCTCCCTGCTCAGCGGGGAGTCTGCTTCTCCCTCTGACCCTCTTCCCTCTCGTGCTCTCTATCTCTCATTCTCTCTCTCTAATAAATAAATAAAATCTTTAAAAAAAAAAAAAAAGAAGCCCAAGCACCAGGAACTTCCAGGACTTGATTAGAATCACTCAGTTATAGGGGCGCCTGGGTGGCTCCGTCCTTAAGTGTCTGCCTTCGGCTCAGGTCATGATCCCAGGGCTGGGATCTGGGATAGAGTCTTGCATCAGGCTCCCTGCTCCAAGGGAAGCCTGCTTCTCCCTCTCCCACTCCCCCTGCTTGTGTTCCCTCTCTTGCTGTCTCTCTCTCTGTCAAAAAAATAAATACAATCTTAAAAAAAAAAAAGAATCACTCAGTTATAAATAATGGGCTACACCCATAGGTTCCCAAGACCCAACACAGTACACGCTGTGCCATATTAAAGATGACAATTCCTTAGTGAGCGCAGTGGCAGGTCCTAACGCACTGTGAGATCCTAAATCTCAAAATTACACTCACAGTCGGTCCTGTTTTAGCACTGTTTTCATTTCAGTGATTAAAATCATTTTTTAAAAATCATCATGTGTGGATTCTTCCAAGAACAACTCGAAAAAAAGGATTGCTTGCGGGGTGGGGGGATGCTGGAGTCAGCAATCGGTATGGTAAGCCATAAATAACAACAGTGAGAGCTAATGGGCACCAAGGGCTCATCACAGGCAGTCATTGTGATCAGCACTTTTCAGGCATCATAAATGAGAGCCTTCAATTCTGGGAATACCGATATTGACCCCATTTTACGGATTTGGAAACTGACGCGCCAAGAGGTTAAGTTACTTCCACAAGGTTGCAGAGCTCATCAGTTGCCCCCTGGCTGTACAGTACTGGCCCGTAACAGAGCACTTTACACGTGCACACCTGCTCCCCACCTAACCCACACCAGAGCCTGTAACAGCACACAACGACATTTAACGCAGTAGACCCTATCGCCAAGTCGTGAGAGAAATCAGGCAGCGACTGCAAAGGGATTTTTACTAAAAGTCAAACCGCCGACTCCTGCCGGTGGCGACCCCGCGTGCGCGCGCTCCCCAAGTAGGCTCTCATGAGTTTCTGACATCAGAACCACTTCTTCGAACCCCAGTGGAGGGAGCAACCCGTACCCAAGCCAACGGGAAAATTCAGAGAATAAGGTCTTTGCTTCCGAGCAGGTCTCAAACTGGCCCTGGATGGGTGAGGTGGAGACCAGGAAGCCAAGTCTGCGCCCCCGCGGGCTCCGAAATGCCTGGGATGCGACACACTGCTTTGTCCCCATGGCAAGCTCGTAACTGGTTTCCCGGGCATCATCCGCCGAGTTCGCAGTGACCTTGGGGTCGGGGACTTCGGGAGGAGGGGCACCGACTCCCTAATCGTCCGGGTCCCTCCCGTCCTGGGGGCTCTCGGCAGATTAGGCAGCCATGCACCTGTGTGCACGTCGCCAACCGCCAGGGAGGGAGGATGCGCGCGCGCCCCGACCGGGGATGCTGACTCAGCCCGGCAGCTCACATCCCCTTCGCGCAACGCGGATGCTGTTGCTGCCGCCGCTGCTGCTGCTGCTGCAAAACGGGGAAAGCAAGGCACTCGTAGCAGCCGGGCCACTAGCTGTCTGGGGCTCACTGCGGCAATCCCTCCCCCGCGGCCCCACAAGGGGAACCAGGCGCGAGTTGACGAAATGGGGGGAAGTGGGCGCTGGAGGAGGAACCCGGGGTTCGCGGCGCCGCGCGCGCAGCTCACACCCAAACTGGAAGGAACCTGTTCTGCCCGGGGCGAACGCGGAGCCGCCGCAGCCGCGAGCGCCGCGCGGGTTTAGCCCCGGCGCTCCCCTCCCCGCCCGCCCCCAGCCAATCCCCAAATCCTCCAGGCGCGGGTGGACTGGGCGCTGGGAGCGCCGGGGCGCTGTGGGAAGGGAAGCGGCCCCGGGGCCCCGCGCGCGCGCCCGGCCAGGGGTGCTGGGGGAGAGGTGCTGGCTCCCCGAGCACGCCCGCGCTCCCCGCCGGCGGTGCAGCAGAGCCCCGGGGTCCGGTCGGGCCGGCGCGCAAGGCCGCGCCCGGGAGGGGGGGGGTTGGGGGAGCGGGGCGGCGTGCCAGGGACCCCGGCCGCAGGGGCGGGGGTGGCCCCGCGGGACCCTGCGGTTCGCTCCAGACGTCGTTACCTTCCGTGACCCCCAGCCCGGGCCCCGGGCGGGCGCGCGCCCGGCGCGGCCCCGGTCCACGTGGGCCGGCGCGCGCGCGCCAGGCCGGCCCCCTCCTTGGCGGCGCTCGGCGCTCGCAGCACATGGTCGGCGGCGGCGCGCCCCCGAGGCCGGCGGAGACCGGCTGCAGCCGGTATAGGATAAGGGATAGGCAGCGACGCGGGGCCGGGGCGCGGGCAGCAGCACGCAGGGTCCGGGCGCAGGCAGCCGGGGTGGGGGGCGGGGGGAGGGTGTGGCCCGGGTGTCCGAGGCGCGGCCGTGGGTGGGGGGCCGGGGCCTGGGCGCTGCGGGCCGGGCGCCCGGTGCTCACCCGCCGGAGCCAATTTGCGGTAGGCTCGGGCCCACGCCCTAAAGGGTTAAACCTTTCTCATGTTACCGAGCGGCTTATAAGGAGGGGGAGGCCAAGCCTCCGCCTTATTGGGAGCCTTTTGGGGTTTATTCTCTTCCTTCTAACTTGGTGAGTTGGTTTTATTATTTTACATGTTTAAAAGTTTGATTGTGGGGTGTGGGTTTTTTTTTTTTTTAATCTGTGTTGGGAGTCTTATTTATTTATCTTTTTGGTGGGGGAGGCGGGAGGAGACCACTTCACGTCTTAACATTTTGGAGAGGTTATTCTGAAAAATATTCTGACAGTTGGGAATGCCCAGGGCCACCGGGATGACGCGCTCTCGCCAGTGTGGGCAGCTGAGAGTTGAATGCCCATGGCCCTGGCAGTTGGGGTCCGGAAAATAACTAGAGGCAGGCTTGGTTTGGAGTGCCCCCCGCCCCGGATTAGGGGCTTCAGGCCATCGGGCGAGTAGGGGGAGCCCGGCTCAGCCCTGCGTGGATTTTCCGCATGAAGTTGCCTGCGCGTCACAAGAGCGAAATGTCAGAGGTACCTTCCCCAGGCTCGCGCGCGCGCGCGCGCGCGCGCAGCCTGGCCACTGAGGCAGCGCGAGGGCAAGTGGGAATCCCTGTGCACCCCCCCTTGGCACAGGCACCCGGGGCAGCCAGCGTGACCCCGCAGAGGGAAGGCAGGGATTGCCCTGCAGAGCGCGCGGATCCTACACCTTGACCGTGCGAGCTGTCAGCGCCTGACGGCTGGTCCCGCTCAACTTCCAAGGTTCCTGGTTGGGGCTGCCAACCGCAGGAAAGCGCCCGAGTGGCTGAGCAGTTCCGTAGTGGCGGAGGATGATTTTGCAGAGGAAATGGGTTCTTTCCTTCAGGGTTTTTTTTCCCCCTTTTCTTTGCTTTTTTTCTGTTCTTAAAATGAACCCCCCCCCCCCACTCTTCCCCAGCAGACAGGTGACAGAAGTTTGTTAGGTGGCACGGAAAATGTCACCCAACACGGCGTGTCTTTAGTCTCAGACAAAGCTCCCCAGAGCCAACTGGGGAAGAGCATTACAACTTGACAACCTGGAAGCTGGTTTTGTTTGCACTGTTAGACACGTCGTGCCATTTCCTTCTTGCCGGAGAGGGTGTCTACCCTGGGAATGAGATTTCTCAGTAATCTTACTGTTGTGCAAATCATAAGATGAGTGTCTCATCTGCAGAAAAATACCAAGTGCTTATGCTGAAATTTCTAAGCGATGCATCCTCCCATGTCCCAAGCACCATTATGCGGCATTTTGGGGGTCAACAATACATCCTGCCCCAGGGATAAAGAAATACCTTTTCTCATAGTTAAGGGAAGGGTGGCCAAGACAGAGAGTTCCAGTTTGTAAATAAACAATGCAGCCAAGTGGAAAAGCTCCTTCTGTCTTAATGAGTACCACTAACTGTGAGTTTTCCTTCTGTGGTTTCCAAAAATGGACCTTCCTCAGTGGAACTCCTGAGGAGGACACTTAAAGTAGGGGTTCAGGTTTCAACATCATGATCTTGTAAAATGGGGGAATCGGTAGCTGATGACTCAGAGCTGCTGAGGCAGACCTCCAGGTTAGGCTGGGGACATTTTTTAAATAGAGAATTCAAATGAACTTCACCTAAATGCAGACTGGTTTTGACAACTGGGGCTGGAAACAACTTGTCGAAAGCTGTTCTCTCTGGGCTACGCCTTTCAGAAGAACAGAGATCGGCGCGGCGTTTGCCGAGAGGCTTGGCTTATCCCTAGAGTCATCACCATTTCCATCCAAAGGCTGCATTTTGAACTTTGCTCTGAACTGACCCTGGACTGACACTCTGACGGTCTATAATAATCCAATATTTTGCATTCTGGATGCCCCCAAATCCAATCTTTACTCAACAAATGGACTCATGGTGAAATCCCCAGGTAGAGCCGATTTCCGTGCCTTGGGAGAAGCCTCATTTATTTAAGGTTAAGACAGCTGAATACTCACCGGGAATACTACAAACTGCCCCCGTGTATTTGGTCATTGTATTTCCTTTGGGGAAACATGCGGGTGCAGGCGGGTTGGCTGCCAGGAACCCCAGTTGTAGTATTTTACAGTTGGGAGAGCCCCTCAAATCCGCAGTGTCTAATCCCTACTTTACAGATGATGAAATTTAGGGATTAAGTGATTTCCCCAAGATTGTGCAGCCAGTTAATGGTAAACAGATGTTCAACAAATAATGCCCAAGGGCTTCAAACCAACAAACCCATGGGCTTTGCCCCAAAGGGCTCAAGAGTTAAGAAGGATGAAAGTGTAACTCAGAGCAAGTCAGGCTCAAAAGCTGTGCTAAAACCGTAGATTCTTAGGACAAGGTGAGATCAGAGATGAGCAAAAAACTCCTACTTACCGCTGACAGCACAAAATCAAGGAGCAAAGTGATTTGGCCCCTCAGGATGCCTCACCAGTTAGACCCCCACGTAGTAAAACCAGTTTCCCTTTCCGTAAGCTAAAGTCACATCACCAAAAAAAAAAAAAAAAAAAAAAAAATGAACCAGACGGTTATTTTGTATTCTGGATCTCACAGAAGCTTCTAAGTCACTGAGTGCAAAGTTCAGGCCTTTGTTTCTAGCTTTGTGGAGGTGGACACTTTTCAGCCAGTTGGCCTATGGAATGAATGGACGTATAAAAAGGAGAGGAGACCAGGAAAGGATTTATTCTGCAAGCAGGGACTTCCTCACTTGCGTTTTATAAGGCTAGAGCAGGGCCCTGCTTCAGCAGCACGCCCAGACTCCTATGTTGTCTAGGGAACTTTTATTGAGCACCTACTATGTCTGAACATACTGCCAGGCTGTGGGTCTGGAAAGAGCTGCCGATCACCCTTCTAGGCGCTCGGACATGAAAAACACAAGAGTTTCTCATCCGGTATGTTTCAGAAACCAGATTATTCTAGATTGTGGTCTTATCTTCAAAGCTAAATACAACAGGACATGCGATGTTTTAGGATGATAGAGGCATAATGTTTGGAGGAAGAGTGGGTTTGGGGGTGTCATCTTCCCTTTATGATGTTCCCAGTAATGATAAGAAAGCTCCTGTTGTCCAGAAACCTAACAATGCAGGTGAAAGTTCTGTTAGAATGATCTTGCTTCAGGAGAGTAGCACAGATGTAAAGCAAAGTTTACAAAAACAAAGGCACCGAACACCCAGAGGGAGCTCAAAAAGTCCACAGATGAGAGCAGTCAAGTCTTCCATCTAACCAGCCACTGCAGATCAGGTCTAAGCAGGGTCCAACTACTTTTCACCTCCATTTGCAAGAACCATCTAGCATTTGCACTTTTCTGCTTGCTCCCAGGTTCCCTGGGCCACCAGGTTTGGCCTGAGGAATCAGGAGATTCCAAGTATTCAGATTGCGTGCTGAATACAAGAGTATGAACTGCCAAAGCAGAATGGAGCCTTAAAGAGCGTCCAGGCCAACCTCCTTTAACTAATGGAGATCAAGGGAGTTTTTGTCTCTGAAAGGCAGACAAAATCTCTACCTAAGACACCCCCTTCTGGGCCTTTTCCAAATGATGTCCCTTAGACGGATAAGGCAGGACCCCGGGAGGCAGGAGACCTGATTCTGGGCCCTTTAGGTCAAGTGCCCTCTCTTGGGTTTAGTTCTTCCCCCTTTGCAAAATGAGTACGATTTTACAATGAGATGGACAAATGAGCTCCAAATCCCCTTTCCGAGTTAACAGTCCATAGTTGTAACACCACCAGGCTCCCGGTTGACGGGAACCCCACCTGTGTTGCACGTCCAAACCACAAATCATAAAGGACAAAGAAAGAGTGGGGTGGGCACCCATCACCAGAAACCCCTGACGATGGACAGGTAACACCCTGTTCATACAAAAATGGCAGTCTTGTCCTACATGCAGTCCCCACGTAAAGATTCTGCCTGTTGATCCCGTAGTGGTTTCAGGCTAGAGAGAAATTTCAGTCTGTCTGTTTGGGGCCTTGATCAGTTTTATCTCAGTGTGTCTTTATTCAGGTTGGTCCTGAGCCCTAAGGTCGTCTGGGCACCCTTCTGGGTTAGAACAGTCGTGCCCATAGGTCCTTGGGCTTGGTTACCACTGAGCCTAACTGCCTGTTAGAAACGTGCTGAGCTCTGGAAGGACGTGGCAAATGGTTTTACTGTGAATTTCAGGCTTAGGGTTCCTGTCGTTACCATCAACAGAGATTTAAGTCCCTAGAGACAGAGACCATCCCTCTTGTCTTTCACTGGAGTATCCCTGGTGCCCAGCATAGGGCGCCTAGCATAGGGCCTGGCTCCTCATAGGCACTCTGTTGAAAAACTAAATACCAACTGTGTGCAGGGTCTGGAGGTGGGAAGGGAGAAGAAGGTACAAAGAGTTCAAGGCCCCAGGATTTGTTTTCCTTGAGCTTATGATTTAATTGATCAAATAAGATAAACACATATAAGTATATAAACAATACCCCATCACTAAGGGATACCCATCACGCGAAGGGAACCCCCTAGGTTAAGTGGGTCAGAGGAAGCATTATGGAGGAAGGTACCTGCTGTAAGGGGGGCACCTAGTCCCCCGGGGGGTGAGCCGGAAGGGTGTGGCAATAGACAAGGTGGTCAGGGACGGGAGGGCAAGGAGGAATCCATTTGGACCAGAGCCTGAGTCAAGTCTTAGAACTGGAAGCGAGGCGGCTACAAAGAGGGGGTGAGATCCAACAAGGAAGGCATTGAAAGACAGGCTCATCCATGGGTTTTATTTATCCTTCAGAAAGAGGAACACCACTGAAAAAGACTAAGCAGAAAATGTCGTAACAGGGCAGCACTTCAAAGAGATTAATCGTACTGGATGCACAGAACCAGTTAGGCTAGTGAAGGAGTCTGGGACTCCACAAGGAAAAGCCCAAACGAACAGCCTGGTAGCGGGGATGAACTAGAAGGGGTGAAGCTAAGGACCTCAGCTTTCCCTATAAGCTGTGGGCTCATACCGCTCTCCCCCACTCTCCCCTCCACCTCTCCCTAGGGATAAACGCTCAATACTAGATAGACCCTATTGCTGGGAAGTACTTTTATTTTATTTTTGGTGTTCTAGATCTTAAGCCCAGCACTGTCTCACTCCTGCCCCAGCTGGCTTCATCTTGGGAGTGCATTTTGAAAGTGTAATGAAGGAGGGGTGTTGTGAAAACTTCATTTGGGGGAGGGCTCCCCACTTCCATCTTAAATCAGCTGCTTTCCATGTTGGGGAGCACTAATGGCAAAACTGTTCTATCGATGCTCAGCCTACATCTTGAGGCATTTAACTGGCCTCCCCCGCTTTGCAAGTGCTCTCAGGAAGGACACATTGACGCACATCAAAATGCAGAGGTCTCTGCTGCAGAGAGCATAAGCTTTTTTAAGCATCTTATGCCCTATTTCATTCAATCAAATATTTAACAGTAAAGGACAGAAAGTGAGTACACTGTCCTTTTAGACACCCGGGCTACCGTGGGAATGGCGCCCTCGATAGGGTGAACGCTACTGAGTCAGGTCAGATTTGCTGCTTTTTTAGGATTTATAGAGTAAACTCAGTATTAGATCCTAATCCCAAAACTTGGCAAGTCGACTGGATAGATGGGGTTGTGTCCTCTTATTTTTCAGTTGCCCTGCATTATCAATAAAACCTGCCTTAGTACTTGAACAGAAGTTATGACCAGGAAAAGGACACCCACACATCCTGAAAATTCACCTGTATGCAACTGTACGACTGTAGAGAATTCTTAAATTCAAGTGTTCTAAGACCATGGACTCATGTATTATTATAGATATTAATTTGGGGTTGGGCTAAAAACACATCACTGTTTCTTTTATTTTTATTTTTTTACTTTTAAAAAATTATTTATATTTTATTATGTTCAATTAGCCAACATATCACTGTTTCAAAGTGCATGTAATTGCAGGGGCTCTGCAAATGAGTGTTAGAACCCAGCGGGGAAGACTCAGGTTCACCCATCCTCCCTCCAGTGTTAAATATAGTGTATCCCCTTACTAGTGGTGTTTCGGGCACAGGTCTATTTTGCTCTGATGTTTGTTGCAGTTCAAATGGAAAAGCATATTAAGGTCGGGGTAACTTGCCTGCAAATTTGTAGTGCTTTCTTTGGTCACTGTATTCTAGAGTATTTGTCAGTTGCTGATACATCAAGTGGTGATCAACTTTGAGGAATTTACTTGTGCTAAACAAACTCCCAGAAGACAGAGTTCTCACATGTAGGTACATCCACAGGGGACGCCAGATCATAATCAGACTGAGCGAGAAACGGGATCAGTGATCTGAATGGCTAGTAGCATCAGGCAGAGATGCATAGGGTGTCTGTAGGATGTCACAAACACTTATCCCACAGAAGGTGCTAGATGGAATGTCAATGTCGGCCTCTTAGCCTCCCAATTCCTAGGCTTCATTTCTGATCAACATGCCTTGTGATCAGTTCAAGCTTCCTTTACCTAACTTGTCTTCAAGTTCAAGGTCAGCATCAATACTTGGGTCTGGTGGCCATTCTGTGTCCTTTGGGCTGCCCCTACCTATGCCGTTCTGATCCCTTTTGTTTGTTTTTCCCATTTATTGTCACAGCTGGGAAGTCTTACTTCCCAATTCTTCGGGGGTTCCATCTACAATACAAATACAAAAGAATTTGGAAGTAACGCTCCCCAGCTGTGACCATTAAATAAATATGTAACTGTTATCCAAAGACTTTATAGTAACTGCACATTATTTAAATATTCATCACCCTAAGAAATATGGTACTTAGTTTTTGTCTCTTAACGTTGGCTAAAGAGTAGCAGAAGCATCAACCCTAGTGCTGGTCTGAATTTTTTTTTTAATTTTTTATTTCAGATTAAGAATGACCCAGAAGACATCACAGCTTTGTTCCAGAGCCAATGTTTATACTCAAGTGCCTGATGGAGGATGGGGCTGGGTGGTAGCTGTGTCTTTTTTCTTCGTTGAAGTCTTTACCTATGGCATCATCAAGTCATTTGGTGTCTTCTTTAATGACTTAATGGACAGTTTTGATGAATCTAATAGCAGGATCTCGTGGGTCATATCAATATGTGTATTTGTCTTAACATTTACAGGTTAGTACCTATTTCTGTTTAAACAACATGTAACCATGTACCCCTTTTCATCGGCTTAACGACATAATGGTGCTCATCCTGTTTGCAATGCATTTCCTTCTATGACCTGTGGGCCCTTTCAAGCCTCAAATAAGTGATATGGTTTTCAGGGGTTTGCAGATGGCAAGAAACGAGAGGTGCCGAAGGAAAAGGCCTTATTTGCCACCCCGATGGCCTTCAGTGTATATACACATGCATTAAACACCTACTGTGTGCACACTTTTAGGATATGGTAGATGACTTTGAGGCCCCCAGTAAACCTCCATCCTGTATAGTCATTTTCTAAAGACGCAACAGCAAAAGCACTTGGCATTCTCGGCTCTGGTCTCATAAAAACATGTTTGGCAAACAGGCTCGGCACATAAAATGTGGGTGCATGACGAAGAACGAGGGGGTGTGAAATAGGATAGAGCGTGAAGTGACAAGCCTCATTCAGAAGGGATGAATTCCAAACACCTGCTTCCCTAAAGGATTTCACTGGCTAGCCACCATGCAGAACTCCCACATCCAACAGCTTCAGAGAAAATGGGGTTTGAGTATAACCTGTAACGTGCTCATTCTCACTGGGTCCCCTACGGGCCTCATTCTCACGATGGTCCATCCGTCTGCCAGGGGCCACACGGAGGGCTTCCGAGAAAACGCGCTACTGAACTCACCTCAGAAAGCTAACGGGGCTGACCTTACACTTCCCTGACTTTACCCTAATATCCTGCCAATGGAACTTTTACCTCTGAAGTTTTCTTTCTTTAATTCTAGTTAGTTTTCAGCCATAAGATGTCTTAAAAGAGGCAGCTCCCCTGTCCTTTCCTATCGAGTAACAGACTTCTTTTAACTGCTCCTAATAATCTGTCTTGCAAGCTTCACGGAAGAGTTCCTAGTTTGGGTTTAACTGAGTATTAAGATACTCAATTTTTTAATTGTGGAAAGTTGACTTTCTTGGAGAGATAACTGAAGTAAATTGAGCTAAAATTTTACCTTTGGTAATCTAAATAAAAAGAAAATGCCAAAGCTTTGCTTTGAGCTCTTTTATAACCAAAAACTATACGGTCAATAAGAAATTTCCAGTTAATACTATTATACCAGAAAATAAGTCTCCTAAATGCTATTCTTATAGTAGTTAATGCTTTCAGCCAACATACTACCTAAAGCTGATGAGAGTGGTTTCATTATGAGCTATATTCAATATTGGTTTATATTCTACTAACATAAGGGTTATATATGCACCAAACCCAACAAAATTTAATCTTTTCCCCTCCTCTATCCAGCATGTTCTGTGTTGTGCTTTTATCCAATTATCAAAGGTTCCCTCATCTCTGTATATTCAAGTCAGTATCAGGGTCAGCCTAAGTAACATATCACCAGGAAACGAATTTATCAGACTTAAATGTTCTTCAGGAATGGAGTATAGAAGCGTAATGAATGATAATCCCTCAGCCACTCGGAATTATCTCTCTCACGGCTGTCCTTCTTTTGGGGTGTTCAACAGAGAATTCACTATACTTTCATACCATTTTCAGAAAAGTCAAATGAAACTGAGCTAGAAACTGACCCGAGATGGAGCTTTTTAAAAAAAGAATCCAAAGCAGTGACTGTAGAAAAAGGAAACGATTCAAGCCATCATGGGAAAGCCCATTTTTATGACAGAATAACATACATTAAATGCATATCTAACTTTATAAGTGCTTATGGCGAGTTTACGTCACTTTCATCTAAAAATATCCCTGTAAGTTTTATACTGTTATTCTGGCTTTCTCTTTAAGAAGCCTAAAAAATACACTGTCCGGTTGAACAAATATAACCATTGTGTAAAATGCATTATATATCACACATCATCTTTCCATGTTCAAGACTTAAAAGAAGGAATCTTGTTTTTTAAAGGTTTTATTTATTTGAGAGAGAGAGCGCACATGAGAGAGCATGGGGCGGGGGGGGGGGGCAGGCAGAGGGAGAAGCAGACTCCCCGCGGAGCAGGGAGCCCCACACGAGGCTCGATCCCAGGACCCTGAGATCATGACCTGAGCCCAGGCATCCCAAGAAAAGGAATCTTAAGAAAGCTAACGCTTATGCCTTTGGAGTTAAAATATCACATTATGGAGGCCCCTGAGTGGCTCAGTCGGTGGAGCGTCCGATTCTTGCTTTCAGCCCAGGTGCTGATCTCAGGGTCATGGGATCGAGTCCTGCGTCCCGCTCGGTGCTCAGTGCGGGGTCTGCTTGAGATTCTCTCTCTTTCTAAAAAATAAATAAATAGAATAAATAAGTAAAATCTTAACATAAGAAATAAAATCCCACATGATGGTCCCCTTTCTGCAGCTCCCCTTTCTGCTGTCCTGAGCACCCGTTTTGGACACCGTCTGGTAGTGATGGCAGGGGGCCTGCTTGTCAGCACGGGAATGGTGATGGCCTCCTTCTCCCTGGAGCTCTACCACATGTACATCTCAATCGGCATCATGTGCGGTAAGTGTTGCTCCCGGGCTCGAAAGAAATACCCGATCTGAAGAACAAGGAAGGGGAAGGAGGGGGTGCAGCCCAAACAGTACTTCTCTCTCCCTTTCTCTGTTTTTTTTTTTTTTTTCCTTTGAAATTAATAGCGTCCCAGATCAGTGGTTCTGAACCAGGCTGGATGGACTCCAGGGGATATGGGAACCTCCTCTCAGTGCCCCAGAGTTTCTGACGGGCTTTAAAAATATATATATTTACCCATGAGAAAGATAACTTTTTTTGCGTGAGTTTGCAGCAAAAAGGCATCATTTTCATAAAGGAAGATTTGAGTTTCTTTAGCGGGTATTTCCACACTGGGAATGCGAGGCTTCCAGGACATAGGGGAGGGTGCAGCAGCAGAACTCTTTTCCCTTTAAAAGGAGTCCACACGTTACTTACAGATGATATACGTGTTTAGTGAAGATTCGCCCTTTTCATATACTTCTGCACTTAGCAAAGCTCATTGGTTTCCAAATACAAGTCTTCTTTAAAAACTATATTCAATAATAGTCTGTCCATTGTGAATTATAGAAATTGTTTTAATGCAGAAAAATAGGGGGGAAAAAACAGAAAACAGTTTTATACTCCTAGCATCCCCAAAACAACGGTCACATCTTCTCTAGACCTCTAATGAACCTATTTTATTTTATTTTATTTTATTTTATTTTATTTTATTTTATTTATTTTATTTTATTTTATTTTATTTTTTGTTACAGCACCTTTTTTTCCAGAATGAAATTCTTGGCTCCCAGAACTTATAATTTAAAAAAATAAACGCCCCTCCCCCACCAAACAGTTCATAATGGCAGCTTCTGTTTCCCCTTTTGCCCAGGAATTATTTTGGAAATGGACTGTTTGGATTTCCAAGAGATTAGATTGTCTGGTTGTTAACTTTTTTGGTATTATTTTCAAATTGTTATGCACTGTGACCAAAGTCCATGTTGGCACCTAATCTTTTGGAAAAGCAAAAATGTCTTTTTGACATGGCACAGAATATAAAAAACTAAGTCATCCCTAAAAGTACATACATACATACATACATACGTAGCTTAAATTAAATGCTAAAACAAAAATAAACACAAAAATCCCAGATCTTTGAATGCACCCTTCTGGGATCAGTCCGTACGTGGTTCTGACTGCTCTTTCCGGCTTTCTTTCAGGTTTGGGATACTGCTTTAGCTTCCTACCAACTGTCACCATTTTATCTCAGTACTTTGACAAAAAGCGCTCTGTGGTCACTGCACTTGCTTCCACGGGAGAATGCTTCGCGATGTTTGCTTTCGCCCCAGGTAGGTGGACTGCGGTAGTCCACGGGGGCCGATGGGCTGGGGGAGGCCGCTCAGCTGCTCCTGCCAACAGTCAGCTGAGGGCTGACTTTAACTGTATTCACAGGGAAAGATTATTTGTCTTCTCTCCTCCAGCGCATTTGTAGGATCTGTCCTCCCTAATCCCGTTTTAGGATTTCAGACACTGTAACACTAATCTAAGTTGACATAAATAGGAAGATGCAAGACACATATTCAGTGGGAAGCCTTGAAACATCCGTTCCAAACAAAATAAATAAGATAATGATTTGAGATTATTCATATTATTATTTCCTTCGTTAAACGTGGATTTAAAATATGCTAATGAAGCTAGTTTTATTATCTGTGTGTGGGTAATCTTTTTTTTTTTTTTTAAGATTTTTTATTTATTTGACCGGGAGAGAGAGAGAGAGAGACAGTGAGAGAGGGAACACAAGCAGGGGGAGTGGGGAGGGAGAAGCAGGCTTCCCGCTGAGCAGGAGCCCGATGCGGGGCTTGATCCCAGGACCCTGGGATCATGACCTGAGCTGAAGGCAGACGCTTAACGACTGAGCCACCCAGGCGCCCCTGTGTGTGGGTAATCTTAACGGCAAAAACAAAAAAAAACCTTTTTTTTTGAGAAAGAGAGCACATGCGTGCGTGCTCATGCACAAGGGGCAGAGGGAGAGGGAGAATTTCAAGCAGGCTCCAGGCCCAACCAGACACGGGGCTCGATCTCACGACCCTGAGATCGTGACGTGAGCCAAAATCAAGAGTCGGACGCTTAACCCAGGCGTCCTCACAGCAAAATTTTTATCCCTGTTTTTTTTGCTACCTCAACATCAGTAGGTGAATTACACCCTAACAGGTAGTAAACGGTTAACCTTGGAGACCCAGATTCATTTCTTTGCCATTTCTTGAAGAATGTGTCAGTGGATTACACTTTGTTCAAAGGAGATAATGTAGAAGTATTTAGGGGTGACATGTCCTAATGTCTGAAGCTTTTCACATGGTTCAGAAAAATGAATCTGTGTGTGCATGTAAATATATAGGTAGACAGGCAGAGAGAGAAGAAATGTTAATTATTGAACTTAGGCAAAGGGCAGACAGGTATCATTCTTTCCACTTTGCTGTCCGCTTGAAATTTTTCAAAATAACATGTTGAGGGGAGCATCAGTGCTCTGTGAATGCCCTGAGGGTGGAAACTGTATCTTGGTCAGCTTTGTTCCCTAGCGTGGCGCATCTCCCTGGTACCCGGGAGGCGCTCAAGAAGTGTGAAATGGAGAAAGGAAGATTGCATCCACTTTTGCCAGATGAGTGTAGAGCTTTTCCAAATCCCCAAGCCTAGGGGCGCCTGGCTGGCTCAGTGGGTAGAGCCTGCGACTCTTGATCTCTGGGTGGTGAGTTCAAGCCCCACGATGGCCGTGGAGCCCACTTAAAATAAGTAAATAAATAAAAACTAAAAAAGGGGGGCAAAACAAAACAACCCTAAGCCTAAAATATTTTGCAATTGGAAGTTTGCCACATGAATGAGAGGAATGGGAGGCATAAAAAGATGCTATAAAGGTAAATGCCCCCTCCCCGCAACTTCTAGATACCCAGCTTAGCATGTCTTCATAGACATGCTCTCAAAGAACTAGACTATAATAAAATTCTACTGAATATCATTTGACCTTTCTGGGTTGATTACGAAGATTACTTTCAGGGTCTTGCGAGGCCTGCATTATTCAGTTGTCACTGTGGGGCTTTATGCTTCCTCTGGCTGTCGCGTCCAGCAGCCGAGGACCCTGGTCAGCAGCCGAGGACCCAGCTTCCTGGCAGGAAGGAGCAGGACTCGGGTAGTTCAGGACAGTCTGCCGAGCAGAAACCGTAGAACCCTGGCATCACTTAATTCTGGGATAATCACGAGCTTTTGGGGGTCTTCGTTTATCTTTTTACTTAACCCGTCACTACTAAGGATCATGAGTGCAGGGACAGTGATCGAGCTCAGAGGTGGGAAATTCTGTTTTTAAAAGGCCAGACAGTAAATACCATACGTAGGCTTTCAGGGGACTATGAAGATCTGTCAGAACCGCTCAGACCTTCCGTAACGGCCAGAAGCCGCCGCTCCGCCCATCAGCCGAATGAGCGTGACTGCATTCCAGGGGAGCTTTATTATCAAAGACAGGCGGTGGATTGGGTTTGGCCTGCAGGCCACTATTTGCCAGACCTGCAAGTAGGTCACCAGCCGATTTCATGTCTTAGGCCTCCACCTGGCAAAACGCACCCTCCAAAGCTCTTTTGGAGACCTCGGGCCACCAAGCGTGGCTTTATAGCTAACCATCACTGCGTCCCTTTTCTCCTTCCCTGGTTCCTAAAAGCATCAACACCTAGGATAGAGGATATAGGGCAGGTGGGCTGCATTCGCACTGCTGAGTACATTTTTACAGCAGTCATGACAAGTCTGAATCCCCATTTCGGCTCGGTATTTCCTCCTGGGTCTTGAGTCTGTTTCTGACCTTCGATTTTATTTCCTCTCCGCTCCCACCTTATTCAAGCAATCACGGCTCTGAAGGACAACATTGGCTGGAGATACAGCCTCCTCTTCGTGGGCCTGCTGCAGCTGAACATCGTTGTCTGCGGGGCGCTGCTAAGACCAATTATTATCAGAGGACCAGGGTCCCCGAAAGCAACCGCCCATGAGAATCGGAAAGAAGTGCAATATATGCTCGAAAATGAGAAAACACGCACCTCAATAGACTCCATCGACTCAGGAGTAGAACTAACTACCTCACCGAAGAATGTGCCTAGTCATGCCAACACAGAACTGGGGCCAAAGGCCGACATGCAGCAGATCCTGGTGAAGACCAGCTCCAAGCCCGGCGATAAGAAAGCCCCTTTATTGGACTTCTCAATCTTGAAAGACAGAAGTTTTATCTGTTACGCGTTATTTGGTCTTTTTGCAACACTGGGGTTCTTTGCACCTTCCCTGTACATCATTCCCTTGGGCATCAGTCTAGGCATTGAGCAGGAGCAAGCTGCTTTTCTGTTATCCACGATGGCCATTGCCGAAGTTTTTGGAAGGATTGGAGCGGGTTGTGTCCTCAACAGAGAGCCCATTCGCAAGATCTACATCGAGCTCATCTGCGTCATCTTACTGACGGTGTCTCTCTTTGCCTTCACTTTTGCGACCGAGTTCTGGGGTCTCATGTCATGTAGCATCTTTTTTGGTTTCATGGTTGGAACGGTAGGGGGTACCCACATTCCACTGCTCGCCGAAGACGATGTCGTGGGAATCGAGAAGATGTCTTCTGCTGCTGGTGTGTATGTCTTCATTCAGAGTATAGCAGGACTGGCCGGACCACCCCTTGCAGGTAATTTAAATAGACAAAAAATATGTACCCTTGTCTACTCTTGTCTTATGAATTGTGCTTGCTTCTTGTTAGAGTCTTAAAAAAAAGAAAAAAAAAGACTGCTTTTTATAGTCCCATAGAATTTCAGAGCTGGCAGGATTAGAGATTACCTGAGCCAACTCTCTTGACTTACATATGAGGAAATTGAAGGTCAAAGCAGGGCAGCTAACAATGATATGGTAAATGAGTGACCAGGTCGGGATTAGAACGCGCGTCTGCGGTCCAGGCTACCCTGGGCTTTTTGCTATCATCTTGCCTTGGCTGTGCTAGAGGGGACCCCATCCATGTATCACCCCATTACCCTCTGACTTTGCTACAGCAGCCCCGAGGGACTTTTGTAAGTCACCTGCCCTTCTAAGGAAGGAAGGGTATGAGGGAACTGGGCACAGAGCGCACTCTGCAAGTACTTCATTGATTACTACACAATATTTCTTGTAGGAAGGACTTGGGTGTGCTTCATACCTTGGCCCTGAATAGGTCCTCAAAAGTTATATTACGAGGGAAATCCTACCACCTTTTAAAAGATCCCTGAAGTGAACCCAAGTGAAAATAATAAGGCTCTTCCCTCTGTTCAAAATATTTCTTTTTCAAAGAAGCATGCAGGGGCGCCTGGGGGGCTCAGTCGGTGAAGCGTCTGCCTTCGGCTCAGGTCATGATCCCAGGGTCCTGGGATCGAGTCCTGCATCAGGTTCCCTGCTCAGCGAGGAGTCTGCTTCTCTCTCTCTCTCTCTCTCTCCCTCTGCCCCTCCCCACTGCTCGTGCTCGTTCTCTCTCTCTCAAATAAATAAAATCTTAAAAGAAAAAAGAAAAAAGAAGCATGCCTCTAACTGTCCCAAGTTTTGTTCTCCACGAGGACAGATTAGCCCGTGAAGAACATGCTAGCAACACAGTGGCCTCCGCCGTATTTGTCCTGACTTATTTCTTCTCCCCAGTCTGGAAAAGATGCCCACCTTCAACACTCCTGTTTCTTTAGAGAAAGCCAAGAAGGCGAAGCCACGGAGAAGCTTCTGCCCTCGAGGGGAGCCTGGGTGAGCGCGGGGCTGTGCCCATGTTGTGCCCGTGTCGCTAACAACTGCCGTGCTCTCCCCCAGGTCTGCTGGTGGACCAGAGTAAGGTTTACAGCCGCGCCTTCTATTCCTGCGCGGCCGGCATGGCCGTGGCCGCCGTGTGCCTCGCGCTCGTGAGACCGTGTAAACAGGGACTGTGCCAGTGTCACCCTGCGGGCGAAGGACAGGCAGAGAGTCCTCGCGGGAAAGCTTTACAAGACATACCCGAAGACTTTCTCGAAATGGACCTTGGGAAAAATGAGCATAAAGTTCACGTGAAAATGGAGCCAGTATGACAGGCTTCCCAGGAAGGGCCACCACCCCGTCGGCTGAGGGGGGGGCGGGACACAGGGAGGTACTGGGGGCTAGCCACTCTCCCCACTTTTAAAATCTGCATTTTAAAGGGAATGTACATGAGAATACCACCAACATCATTTTTTTTTTTTTTACCTTTTAAGTTTTCCTTTTTGCTTGTTTCTTAAGCCAAAACAAAAACAACCCAGCACTCTTCTGTACGTAAGTCTGGTTGCATTCGGTAGCAACCCAGAGATACAAAGAAGGACCCTGTGGCTCACATTCCAGTTTTAAAATAGTGACGCGAATTGGTAAAGTGGTTTTTAAGAGCTCTCAAATGTGATAAAAGGCTGTCTAACAAAAGGAAAGCTAGCCCAGGTCACTGAAGTGAAATTGGCCACTCAAAACAAACAAACAAACAAAACTTAAATCATTTTTAAAATTTCTCGTTTTCAGAAACACGAGCAAATTGCTTGACACCCCTTGGAAAACACTGAGGTCTCCATTCACAAACAGTGGCCTCTCCGTTTTTCAGATATTCCATGGGAATGAAGTACAGTTTAAGACCAAACATTTGGCGAATAAGCAGAAATTTAAAAAAAAAAAATCTATAACTTTGAACTTCATCAATGTGAAGATTACCACTTCTTTTTATGGCCAGTCATTACCAGAAGTATTTCAACACAGAAGATAATGACATTCAAAAATGTGTTTCCTGTTGCTTTTAATTATTCAGAAATATGTGACGGTAGTGTCTTTAATTTAAACCACTATTTATTATTAAGTTATTCTAGGATGATTAATCAAAAGAAATAAAATGAGACCTAAGCATCATTTTTACCTCCTTTTTGCAACCCTCTAAATGCCTCAAAGAATACTTACCTTATAAAGTCACTCTCATACGAGGGCCAAGTTGTAATGATTCTTCAATTTGATTAAAGGCCACATGTGCTATTTGAAGGGGAAAAAATAATCGCCTTAGCTTTTTAAAATAATTTGTTTTATCACCTAAGAATACTTGAGGATCTCCTTTGATCGGAATGATATTTCATTGAATTGTTGAAGCATTTCTGATTTTTTTTTAACAGCTAACTGTTGAAGCGTTTCTGTATTTCACATGGGGTAGCAGAGACATGTATTTTTACCATCATAAGTTACAAGTTGCGATTTACATCGTATATAAACCTTGATTGCTCTAAGTTGCCAGAGTTATCAGGTAACTGGTTGCTGTTGGTTTGTTTTTTTTGTTTGTTTGTTTGTCTGTTTTTGGAATTACACTACATGTATAAGTATTTCTCCTTTTCTCATTTTTCTGTAAAGAGGGCAAGTGTGACTACTTATATGTACTGAATCTCACTCTCCAGGTGACGGTCGCTCTCTGCTCCATCTTTTATTCATCTTTACTGTTAATTTATGACAACTCAGGGGGAAAAATATAACAAGCCTAGTTTGGTTACAGGTACACACAAGCTTGAATATTTCTCTGCACTGAAATGCAAGTGGCATAGCTCATCACCACCTGCTACATTTTGTATAGCATTTTATCAGCCATAGAAATAGGACAATCTGGAAAATTCTGGGGGGTGGGGGAGAAAAACGACAAAGTGTCTGTCGCAAACAGACACACCTAATCAAGGTGGATGTAGCAAATCTCTGTCACGGCTTGAGAAGGACTTTGAGCATGTGGCAGTTTTGCAAACTTCCATAACTTCAGCACTTTACAACATTTTTTACTATGAATGTTCAATACAATTGAATATTTATAACTGATTTCTGAGCAACCGGCTCTAAGTCCATTCTGTTAACTGCATGAAAAAAAATGTATGCCAACTTAAGTATGTCAATAATCCGGTTTTAAATGTTTGGAAGAAAATCAAAACGGGATTGCTGATTTGTTCTGTATTCGTGACATTCTGGTACTTCTAGATTTGCAATAAATGTATGGCTTTTTTTATGTAGAGACTGATTAGTTTTTTTATAGACTCCTCGGCATTCATTGTTTGATCCAACTCAAGTTATAAAAGCTCAAGGAAGATTCACTTCAAATAAATAAAATTTTTTTTCACCTTTCTGCAAAATCTTTTACCTCTACGGGAGACACATAACCATTTCCAAGAAGTGTTTGTTGAACTTAGTTGTTTCTTAATGAAAAATATATGAATGAAATGAGATCGTGGTCACCACACAGTAATAGCTAAGCCTATCAAAAGTAATAAATAGTGGAGACTATCTATATCCAGTTACAGACTAGTCCTAAGAGCTACTCTGACCTCTAGGTGAACAGCATACTCTCCATGCCAGGGGTCAGCAGACTTGTTCTGGAAAGGTCCAGATAGTAAATATTTAAGGCCTTGTGGGCCATGTGGGTTCTGTCACGACTACTCAGCCCCACGGCTGCAGTGTGAAGGCAGCCAAAGACAATATGTAAAGTCACAAGCATGGCTGCTTCAATAAAAATTTATTGATGGATACTGAAATTTGAATTTCATCACGAAATATTATTTTGATTTTTTTTTCAACCACATAAAAGTGTTTAAAAAAAAAAAAACAAAAACCAAAACCCTATTAGCTTGTGGTCCGAAAAGAAAAACAGGCAGTGGGCTGGATTTGGCCTGCGGTCTGCAGTTTCTGACCCCCTGCTCCATGCATCTGCGACCCTGGAAGTCTCAGCGCCACCAGCAACACCTCTCTGAAAAGGAACATCCTGACCCGTAGGAAAGGATCGTTGTGGTCAATGTGGCTTTTAGATCATAGGTGCCAGAGACAGGAAAGATCAAACAGCTGATGGCACGTTAATTACAAGTTTTCATTTCCTGGGATTAAAGAGATTCTGCTCCAACCTTGTTGACTTAATAATGTTTCACTCTAAATGAAGACTACTTCCCTCCCTAAAAGTAGAATTATTCCAGTGGTAAAAATGAGTTAAGATCATGTGCTCTTTTAAGACAAATGCACCCTTTGTGGATACAATGTGTCTAAGCCTTTTTAACAAAGTTACCAGTTTTGTCCTCCTGCAATGTGTAATGTATTGTACATTTCTTCCTCTTTCCTGCAGCTTAATGCCTGATGATAAAGTAGAAAATATGTCCCGTGTCAGGGTTCCCATGGCCCAGTTATCCATTCAAGTTACCTAGAAGTATTTATTACATTTAGATTTTCATACTCTTTCTCAAAAATATTCAAAATCAGAAACAATCATGAATGCTTATTTTAAAAAAAGCTCCCAAGTATCAGGCTCGCTAACAGGAATTTAAAGTTCAGAGACCATTGCCTTTAAAATTTTAAACGGTTATGAGGTTTACTTGAGATGAGCAATTTATTTATTTTGGGGAAGGGGGCAGCAAAGCGAGGTTTATTGAGCCATCAGAAAGTGATCAAGTGATCCTACAAAGCTCCCAAGGAGGGAGGGGACCCGAGACGGTTGCCAGAAACGACCAATTTAAAGACAATTCAGACTTGTTATGTCCTAGAAGGTCAATCCTATAAGTACAGTAGCACTGAGAAAAGAGAAGCTGAACTTGTTTTCGGATTTGTCTTTGATAGAGATGCTAATCAAAGGAGGGCTGCAATCACGAACAGGTGGGCCAGCCGCTGTATAAGCAAGGAAACTAGCTCCCCCTGGTGTTCAGTTTCCGTAAGGACTCCCGGGGGGTGCAGAAGAAGAAAAGGGCCAAGTTTAAGGAAGGCACAACTCTGCTTTTCAAGGAAGAAAAACTCTCACATCCAAGTCAAAATTACTTCAGTGACCATGCATTTCCTAGAGGGAAAACTGGACAGCAAACGTGATATTCCAGAACATTTTATCTATAAACGCGTTTTAAATAGAGCTCAACAAATACTATGGAGAGAAAATACACATTGTGGCGATGGATTTATATTATTTAGATACCTTTCCAGCAACTCAAGAAAAGCACGCCAACTGTCCTAGCAACCTACTCCCCTAGAATTCAGGCAAAACTGTAAGCACCTTCTCTACACTGACAGTTCCTGTTCTAGGATCCGACTGTGCAGCTGAGCTCCAGACTCACACAGGCCCGTGTGACAGCACCTGGTGCCAACTAGGCATTTCCAATTTCACATGTCCTCAGAACTCTTGACCCTCCTCCCCAAACCTGCTCCTCCACAAATCCTGTTGACTTTACTTTCTAAATATACCCAGAACCTGCTTTTGCCAATTCCACCAGTACCCCTGATCCAAGCCAGTATCGTCTTAGCTGGATTATTGCAATCATCTTCTAGCTGGTTTGCCCAATTCCGCTATTGCTTTGATTTTCCTGCTTTAATTTTCCATACAGAAGCCTTACGATAATCCCTTGAAGGCACAAATCAGTCATGACCACATTTAAAACCTAAAATCCCTAACAATGGGTTCTTCGTGAACTTCCTGCTCTTTCTTCCTTGCTCCCTGATACTCTAACTGCACTGGACTTCTTGTTCCTTGAAAACATTAGCCTCATGCCTTAGCATTTTTCCCTAGTCCACCCTTCCCTTTGACGTGTGCATGATGTGACCCTGCAATTTGGTCTCCTCCAAATGTTCCTGAGGAGGCATTCCTGACTATCCTATCCAAAACAGTCCTTGTTTCTACCCTTTACTCTGGAAAAAAAAAAAAAAAGTTATACATAAGTATTTGTTTTCATTCATTAACCAGGTCTCCTCCATTTGCACCTCAAGATAATGGGTTTTTGTTTGTTTGTTTACTGCTACTTCCCAAGGCTTTGAGCAGGGCCCCGCACAGAGTAGGTGGTGCTCCAAAAATATTGTTGAATGAATGAATGAGTTCATTTCTCATTGGCTTTTTCAAGAGGAAAGAACATGGTACTGATTTACAATTACAGCTCAAGACAGTCTGGTGCTGCTAGAAAGCAGCTGGGTGGCCCCAAGACACTTGAAAGCACTGTGATCCAAGCCTACTGTCCCAACAGCTGAGGATGGGTCTCTAAGTGTCCGGCAAGAGTGCTGTATGAGCCAATCAGCTGTTAAGGATGAAAACATAGATCCATCCGAGACTAAACAAACGGAAGAAATTATCCCAAGGGTAGGTGTGCAGATGGAGGGCTCAGTTTTAACATATTGCTGGAGCAGATTTTGTTTTAACTTAACCTATTTTCTAGTAGTCTTTTTTTTAATGATGCTTTTTTTTTTTTTTTTTTTTTTTAATGCCTCCATGGGTAGCGAGTGCTTTTCTGGATATTGAATGTCTTTTTTGGTGCTAAGGCAGAGTACATGGACTGATTTCTCTGACTTTGAGCAACACCAAATGTCCCCACTTGAATAGAAAAGAGGTTGAAAGAAAGTTTAATCTTGTAACTCTTCTATAAACAATCTGGGAGAGAAAAAAAAAACCGGTTAGGTTTCTGGCTCGTGGTATTTTACTTATGAGGTCATGCAGCAGAGGGAAAACAAAGCAGAATTCGTAATTAGGGAGACTTGGACCCGGTCCATCTTTGCCATTGGTGCTACTGAGAACAAGTTTACTTCGCTACTGCAGGCCTGTGTCTTCACATGTGAAATGAACTGAGCAAGATCCACATTATTAACACTCTACAATTCTGCATTCCAAAAATGAAAACGCGTTAAGAGGACAGACCAGGCCTTTGGCAACTGGAGACGGTAAAAAAACAAAACAAAACAAAACAAAACAAAAAATACAGTGCCGCGGGAAATAACAGCAAGATCTAAAAGCCAATCCATCAATACGGACTCCGTAGAGTGTTCACATCCTCTCGGCTTGAATGCCAACTCTCACTGTACTGCCCGAAGACACGCAAAACCTTTTCCTCTAAAAAGCCTTTCCTAGGAATTCCTATTAATTCAACTTCAGAGGTGCATCTTGCCGTGAGCAGCAGGAATCGGTACTAAGCTAGAGCTGCGCGGTCCAGCCCCTTGAGCCACGCGGGGCCGTTGAGCACTCGCCATGCGGCCCTCAGAGCGGAGAGGTGCTCTCAGTGTCGAGTGCACACTGGAGTTCGAACACTTAGAATGAGAGGTGAAAGTAAGCTCTCTCCATTTTTATTTCGACCACAGGTTGAAATGGTAATATTTTGGATGTACTGGACTAAATTAACATGTGTGACTAAACCTAATCTCACGTGCCCCTTGCTGCACGAGCTCACGTGGCTCCCAAAAACGTTAAGGTGACATCTGCGGCCCGTGCTCTCTTCGTAGGGAACGGTGCTGCTCTCGTTTAGGGACCAGAGCCGCGGAAGGGGCTCACCGCGGCCTCCGGAAGCCAGCGCCGCGCACACGCGCCCCCGAGCCCGCTCGCTCGCACTCACTGCTCCGCTGCCAGCCGCGCCGATCTTGCCAGGCTCCCCGCGGCTCCTGCGCCCCCTCGCTCCGGAAGCTGCGCTGCGGGCCGGGGGCGCGCGGGCGCGGCCGGGGGTGCGGGCCGGGGACGCGCCGCGCGGGCTCGCGGCGGGGCGGGGCGCCGCGGGGGCGTGGACAGCGCCGCCGTGGAGCCGGGTGGAGGGGTGGACGGCGCCGCGGGGGACGCGGGGGACGGCGCTGGGCACCCCCAGCGCAGCACCCCGACCCTCGGCCGCGCGGGGTGCGGAACGGACACGCGCTCGAGCCGGGGGGCGGGGAGGGGGTGCCTCCGGGCTTCAGAAGGCGAGGCCGGCGAGGCCACGGTCTTCTGTCCGGCCGTCGGCCGTCGCCGTTATAGGGCTTTGCGGACGAAAACGTTGACGCTTCGTCCTTCTCTGGACCGGAGACAGACGACTAATTCCGCAGGCGCCAGCGCCAACAGATTTTCACATTCGCTTATTTCTAGAACGGTGTTAAGACCGTGGAAAACTAATTCTCTTCACTCTTACCTTGTTCAGCATTTGCAAAGCAAGCTCTGCGTGGATCTGTTACTGACAAAATCATTTCTCAAAACAAGATTTACCTATAGTACATAAAATTTCGTTGCAGTAAACAGATATTCTTAAATTTAACCCTAAGAAATTGCCCAAAAGTAAATACAATGCATTATACACACTTAATTGATGATTGCTGAATAAATGCCTATCACGTAAAACATTTGTCCAACTTTTAACAGGGCTGAATGATTTCTTTAAATAGACTTTTTTCCTCGTCTCTCTGTGCAGAGTAGGTACAAATGGACTTTATGTCTTGTCCAGATAACCACACCCCCTAATTTACACACCTAGCCAAATCTCAATGTGTAGGTTTGTAACTCATGCTGACCTATAGGCCTAAACTTGTGCTTACCTCGTGGGAAAACAGAACAAACCTGAACACAGTGGACAATAATAGTACAAGAAAATAAAACTTGTAACAGAATCCGTAGAAGTCCATGCTCCCTTGGATTCTCTTCTCATAACAACCAAGTGTTCGCCCTCCAATGAGTGTGAACAATCATTTTTCTAAATGACCTTAAGAGGTCTCATCGAGTAAGAAAGTGAATGTAGTACGGGAAAGCATGGAATTGGTTAGAATATGTGCTTTAAATCACACTGCATAAATAACAGGGAATTTAGGTTCCAAGCTTCAAAATTTAAAAATACCTAAGTTTCACCCTCCAGGTGAAGATGGGAATGTGGGAAAATGCAATCTGCTCACCAGCATTCAATCAAATGATCTGACCTAATTCCTAGATTTCTGAGATACACTGATCTCGCTCGAAAAGTCTGCGGTTTTCAACCTGTTCCCCACGGAGGAAATCCAGCTGATGTTCACAGCCTTACAGGCCAACAACGGGCATTCCTGACCCACCAACGGGACACCCCGTCACACTCTCCCCGTCAAGTAAACACTTCACAATGCAAAGTGAGAATGATACTATTGTAGGAATAAACCTAACACCTGCTCCAAGCCTGCAGGCAAAGTGGAACACTCACAAACATAAGGCCCACTGTAACAAATCATGAGCAAGACCCTTCACAAATACTATGTCCGTTGTGCAAGTGCCCTGAGTTTCACTTGTAAATATTCTTGAGAGCTCACATTTTATAAGCTGCCGAAACCCCATGTGAACTATTGCTTCTTTCAGGTTCGAGAGGACAACCAGCAAATAAAAGGGAGACCAGGCAGCCCCCCTGGGAAGGAGAGTCCACAAATGAGGGATCTAGAGCAGGCGGACCACCTCTTCCAAGAAATGAACCAAAAATCAGCCCCTGGAAATTATGTTCCTTGGAAATCCTTTCTTGGGACACATACAGCGATTTTTGTATTTACTTATCTGCTAGTCCTAGCTCTCTTGTGAGACATAAACATATTTCAAGAATGGAAATGATGTTCTCGCTACCACGGACCAGGCTACTAAGACAGAACAGAGAGGGTTTATAGTTTTTAGCATTCCAGATAAGCCTCATTTCAAAGTTCAGGTGCTTTAAAGAAGGTTCCATTCTGTTACTTGACACAGGGCAGAATCAGTAAACGGTCTGTTCTAATGAAGTACTGCATCCAAGTGAAAGCGTAATATGCAAGGTGTTTATTGTAATTACTCCTACGTGAAGGTCCTTATTTTTGGACAACAGCAAGGCATCTTATTATCCACTCTTTCCATTCCTTAAAGGCTTCCACAGGTTTTGGTAAATTCACATTGTCTTCCCGACTGTGTCCCGTGCTGACTCCAGGGATGTCAGCAGACTCATCATCAATCCACTTCACCAGTGCCTTGAAAAACAAAATCCAGATTCACGTGTTAACAAATCAGGGCAAAACAGTTTGAGGCAGGAGAGACACGTTGGCTTCGAAATCACGTTATCTCAATCAGTGACTTCTGTTACCCCGGGAAGATGTTCCGTCTGATAAAGATGTTTGTGAATATGGAACACCACATACTGGGTGAAGGAGCAGTTACCAAAAATACACAACCTACGATTACAAATGATGGTCAGAAGTGTGTACAGGAGGAAAGATGAAAGAGAAACGCAAGAATCCTCACAGGTTTTTCTGGATGGGAGGATTATGCTTTTCTCAATGTGCCGAAGGTTCCACAGGGCACTGGGCAAGTGCTTTCGAGCTGACGTGGAAATGGGTCATGTAAGTGTGCACACAGGTGTAGGCAGACACACGCATGTAAACATCCCTGCGTGAGCAGTCACACCCACGAGGTGGTAGGTGATGACTATGGACATGTCTGTGGGCATGCGTGCACATGCACACACGTACCAAGATTACATGCTTTCCCTCTTCCTCCTTAAAGAAACTCATCCTTTCCTCTGCGTGAACAGCATACCCCTGTCCCATATTTGGAAAGATAAAGCATCTCCACATATACTTGTGGTTTTAAAAAATAATGAACTCTGCCACACACATCAACATTCAGCCTGTTCTCCCAAGTCGAGCGAAGGGGGACCACAGATAGATACCTCCTCCACCGTCTCTCACTGAACTGCAAGGGTAAGGCACTCAGAGGCAAGGCAGTTTTTAAGAGATTTCTTCGCGTGTTTTTCTTTTTTTTTTAAACCACAGCTTCCTGCTTATCTCTGCACTAATTTCCTCTGATAAATTATAGCTCCCGAGAAGGGCCTAATAGAAAATGGCAGTTTGCTACTTATATAACCACTTCCCCCCTTCTTTTTCTTCCCCTCGTTTACTTGGTATCTCTCTATTATGTTGAAGCCAACAGCGCACCGCAGCTTGCGTAAACAGATAGGGCAAAGGTTGAGGGGGCGCCGGTCAGCCTCTTCCAAGTGGTTGGAGCCCTGCATGAGGCATGCAAGCCACTGGCAGTGTCGAAGTCCAAATATGTGTCCGATCTCATGGGTCAAAGTCTGCAAGACATTCAGAGCAAGGCTATATAGCGCCACCATCGTCAAAGAGTTAGACCTGCCTTCTTTTTCTTGCTTTTCCAAGAAACAAATTTATAGGAATCAACTCCCTTCCCGTCCTCACCAAAAACTTCAACCTGCCCAAAGACTTAATCCCCCATTTCCCTAATTGTCTTACTGCTTTCCTTCCTATACTTACTTCCCCCGGAGCAGGGTTTCGCAGCCTTGATACATGTGACATGTGACATGTTGGGTGGGACCACTCTCTGCGTCACCACGGTGGAGGTGGGGGGAGGACACAGCTGTCCTGTGCACTGTAGGATGCTTAGCACCATCCCCAGCCTCTACCCACTAGTACCAGGAACACCCCCAGCCCAACTGCAACAACCGGAAGTGTCTCTCGACATTGCCGGAAGTCCCCAGGTGGCCAAATCAGCCCGCGGACAGTTGTTGCTGTAGACCAGAGGATGGGACGCCTGTTAGGCTTCAGATTCCGGCTATTCCCCCACAGATGCCAAGTCAGCAGGTTTGGGAGAATGGGGGCTCAGTCTGCATGTTACCGGGCACGCCAGGTGATGCTGATGTGGGGGACACACTCTGAAAACACCATAGCTCTCAAACCCTGAGGAGGAGTACTTAGGAAAACAGAACTTCCCAGCTGCAGGTAAAGCCTCTGTCTCTGGCTACGAAGACCGGTGGGGGGGGTGGAGGACATGACGGTAATAGACTGGAAATCAGGAGATGGGCTTTCCAAAGAGCAGGGGTTGGGGAGGTATCAGGAACTGTGAGCAGAACTAACCGCAGGAGAAGGCAGCTTTGGGCCAAGAGGAAGCTGTCCTCAAGACGCCTGAGAGCAGAGGCCTCCAAGAGCCACTTTACGTGATGACCACAACAGCTTCAACGAGTCACTTACCTTACTCATAGCAGAATTCTGGAATTAAACTAGTGGCGAGGATGTGGGTACAGTGACAGTTGCGTGTCACTAAGAGGACAAAAAACCAGCACTGATACTGTAAATTTCAGTATTAAGGTATCCATTCTAATTCTGTTTCTGTTGATAACTTCAGTCAAACAATATCCACCGAAAGTATACGAGTGATATAAACTCATTTATAATACGACCTTAAGGACTGTTGATATACAATTCAGGGAATTAAGAGCTCTTTAAAAAACATTCCTGTTAGATTTGTTTCTTTTTCTTTTTTTTAAAATGACTCACCTTACAGGAACGAAGCAGCAAAACACTGGTCACTTCAGGAATATAATAGTTATCAAAAACGGAATAGTCGCTTGAAGATACTTTCTGCAGCTTGTTCACTTTGCCTTCATAGCGTGAACTGTAAAAATCACTACCATATCTGGCAAAGCTGAATATCCCCACACCTAGAAAAGGAGGACAAGCAACATCAGAATGGGAATAAGATTCCTGAATGAAAAACCAAAAAAGAGAGGCTGTTCGCGCGTCTAGTCATTGGGTGCAAATCTGTGCTACTGTGTTCGCGGTCTAATATGCTTAAGGTTTGCCAAGACAAAGAAGGGCTTTTTGCTCCAGATTTCCCCACCAAAATCTTCTTCTGCTATCCACACTGCGCTGCCCTGTAAGACTCAAGGGTCTTGAGATCAAATTCTTGAGAAATAGAAAGCTCTAGAATTCCCCCCCCCACACACAAAATTAGTCTTTTTTCTCAAAGAGTAACCCAAATCAAGGACTCCAAGAGGAGTGAGGAAAAATGGTGACACACATACCACACATCCATGACTTTACTCTTTAAGAACACAATAAACAGATCTCTAGGTCCTACAGCGCAGTGAGGGTTCTTTCACTGCCCTGATGCGTGGAGACCATGTTGGACACCATGCCTTCCCACAGAACCTCTACCCTCCTCCCCCTTCTCACTCAAGAGCACAACTCTATGTGGCTGCTGTGGGGTGACCAGAATAAATACCCTTGTAACTGACTTCCTGTTACACCGAAGCTTCTCTCAACCAACCGTGCACACATGAGAACAGGGTTTGCTACACAATACATTCTAAAGGGCATGGCTTTATAATGTGACTTACGTTGTCATTTTTATTTATGCCTATTTCCGCTGTTATCTGAAAATAATAAGGCTTTTTTTTTTGTTAAAGAAATGACTTCATAATAAGTCTGTCCAATCCAACTTGATCCCAAGAGACTGCTCCTCACCCCACCCTTCAAAGTGTCACCTTATATTTGATACTTAGAGAGAGAGCGCATTCTGAGAGAAAGTTAAGGAAAAACAAAATTTCATGTCACAGCTGACCTCCTCTATCCTCTGGCCAACCAAGTGTGGGCATAATTTCACTACAATACCGTTAGCAAGAACATTTTTTCTTTCTAATAACCTTATGGATGGAAGATTATTTTTAGTAATTATATATTTCTCCATTTTAAAATCCCCATCTTTGTAAACTTGGGAAAGTACAGTCACTTATAGTAAGATACTATCTCACTGCATGGCAGATCAATGCTGCTAGCTTACACCTTCTTTAGACCATTTAATATTTAAGAAACTTACTAAAATGGGGGGGGTTAAAGTAGGAACATTTTAGGAGAATGTCTCCTGACCTCCTCAAACGTGCGTAAGATAAATTAGCTAGCAATGTCTAGATAAATTGTTTTAACTTTTTTTTAATGTTTCCACCGATGTCAGATTAATTATAAAAGGGAAGATAAAAATTTAGTTCATAAAAGTTTATTTCTGATGGGGCGCCTGGGTGGCACAGTCGGTTAAGCGTCTGCCTTGGACTCAGGTCATGATCGCGGGGTCCTAGGATCGAGCCCCCTGAGCCCTCCCAGTCCCCATGTGGGGCTCCCTGCTCAGCGGGGATGTCTGCTTCTCCTTCTCCCTCTGCCACTGCCCCCCCACAGCTTGTGCTCTCCCCCTAATAAATAAAAAAGCTTATTTCTGATAGAAAGATAGCTCTTATAAAAATCAGAAAGATAGCTGTGGCCAGAGTGTCCAATAGAGTGTGTTGATGGGGGTTGGGGTGCTCTAGGAATGTAAACGGAGAAGTCACCAAAGAAGGAGCAGAGGGAAGAGGAGGCTCTACGGTGCCCTGGGCTCCCACCTCGAATGAATGTCTCAGAAAGAGAAATGTCTAATAGAAAGAAACATTTGTTAAAGAAAGGGCCCACCCCCAACAAACCCTGAGGCTAATGTTACGCCTGGACAGTCCACGAACCAGTACCCCAAAGGCGCTGTCCCGGATACCTACTCCTTACCCCCGGAGCGCTAATGGACGACCACTCCCCTTAGTGCATTGGACTTTCCCTTTCAAACCTGTCAGATCCTAGGGGACAAGGGTAGAGAAATTACAGCAAAAATGGAGGGGTGGGGGGGAAAGTGGAGAGAAGGCAAAAAGAAAAAGAAAAAAAAAAGGGCAAAAATAGGATTTGCTTCCAGATCCTTTCCTACCCTATTACCACGCAGAATTCCTAATGGGTCAAGTTTTACTATATCTCAAATTGAAAACTGAAGGTGACTTTTTATAAAAGTAAAATAAAATGTCATGAGAAACAGGATAAGAAGCTTACACACTTGTAAATCAGCCTATGGTTACTCTATCTGGATAAGAGAACTATGAAAAGAATTGAAAAACAATTAGCAAGATTTTCACTTACCTTAATGATAGTACAAACACCCCTAACGTTTTTAATTCACCTTGCCCCTGAATTACTGACATTTACCATCTGTTGTGCTGAATGTCTATATAGATGCCGGGCATATATACACACTTTTTATGTATCAGCACTGTTAGGTAAACTATCTCAAAAGGACTCTCTGAAATAGTTATCATTGGCCTCAAAATCATGTAGGTAGTGAAGGGCTCAACAGATGGATCATCAGAATCCATCCACAGCATACTACTTCCTGAGCACAGCACGATGCACCAGAAATATTATAGTCATAAGTATCAAAATGATAATTGGCTGGGATTTCTTCCCTTTATCAAGTTTCAAATATTCTCAAGTTGAGGAAATTTCTACTAAGTGTCAAAAAGGAATACCATCTGTCAAAGAGGCCTGTCCAAAGACAAAATTCCAGGAGTCTCGTGGGTAAAGATCAATCATTGTTATTCCCACAATACAGAAGGCATCTCTAGGTTTCTTCTTTTTTAGGAACCTCAGGATGTGCCCTACTTGAAAAAAAAAAAACGTACATGTGAGATATACATATATATATATATCCATACATGTATCTATCTAATATCTCCTTTACTCAATTTTAAATTGTAAAGTTGTTTAATTCACCTGCATGAATTTGTAGGTTTTGTGTGTTATCATTGATTCTAAAGGAACACCTCGTTACAGAGACAGGAACCGGTTCTAGGAGTTTCACCGTCAAGCCATAGAAAAATGCTTCACAGTAGCCCTTGAGCCACTTAATATATTCTTCACTGATAATTCTGGTGTTTCCTAGAGATCCTAGAAGATAGAAAAAATATAAGACAGACTTTAAGATGATTAAACATTCAGTCTTTATCTCATTCTATAATTAGAAATTTTATATTAGAAGCAAACTAACTCCAGATTTTTAATAAACCTTTATCACTCATTGACGTGAACATGAATTACAAAGAAACAAAATGTCCCCCTTTAAGGTGATTTGGGTACAAAACTTCCACCACTGTAATGAATGTCAAAAAATGATCATAAAACTGCCTACTTGAATAAGAACAAGTGGGCTATCCCTGGCAACAGCCCCATGCAAACCAACCCAAATCCAGCATGTTACCAATGTATACCAATGCATTGTATATAAATACTGCGCTTCTCTGGAGACGGTGCCTTTCTAGAAGGATCACTGAAAAACTGTTCGAAGTCCTGGGGAGGCTCGGGATGGGAGATGATCCAGTCTGATTCCGAATGCAAGGTAATGGGTCCAAACAGATCACTGTCTGGCTTGAAGGCTTTGTTCAGCAAACGCCGTTCGCCAGCATCTAACTGCTCATACAGTGACACAAGCGTTGGGTTCTTTGAGATGAGAGCTGTTTTTAGAGTCTGTTCAGAGTGCTGTACTGTTTGCATCTACCAGGAAAACACAAGTAATCAAATATACAATGCATATCCACTCCAGTGACTTTAATCTGCCTATCTTCCACATACATCTCTAATTTCTCCCTAGAATGGAAAAACTGATTGCTCTTTTGTTGTTTGTTGTTACTATTATTCGTACCAAACAACTGTTTTTCTTCCCCATTTCCAATCAATTTCTTGGGGAGGGTAACTGAAAAAGTGAAAAGAAAAATCATGAAGTTCATTCCTCCTTCTCTTATGGAACCTGCTCCCGTTTTAAAAAACCATAAGTGAATGACCTGATTTCCTGTTTCCTTCTGTCCTTGGGGTAACAATATTATGAACTGACTCATTAGGGCCACATGAAAAATACTCATCTTGGGCGCCTGGGTGGCTCAGCTGGTTAGGCGACTGCCTTCAGCTCAGGTCATGATCCTGGAGTCCCGGGATCGAGTCCCACATCGGGCTCCCTGCTCAGCGGGGAGACTGCTTCTCCCTCTGACCCTCTTCCCTCTCGTGCTCTCATTCTCTCTCTCTCAAATAAATAAATAAAAAATCTTTAAAAAAAAAAAAAAAAAAGAAAAATACTCATCTTTTCCAAGGTGACTCAAAGATGTTCCAGACCACACAAAAAGAGAACTGAGGTAAGTCCTGCCATTTCTGTAATTTAACTGCAGGCTGGCAATAGACCTCATACACTGAAGTTTACTGCCTCAAAGTCATGTCACCCTGGGGAGGACATCAGGTGACTAATCAAAAGCCAGACTCACAATGACAGGTCTCTTCCATTCACATCATGTTCCTCTGTAGGGATGTCATTCTTTCTTCTAAATGGGTCAAATAGCTGTTCCGCCACAAGGCTTCTGGAGTTAGAAAAGGAAAAAAAAAAAAAAAAAAAAAAAGGACTTCACTCTCTGGAACCTATCATCTTTCCTAATTCTCTAGGTTTTTTCCCAGTTTAATGACTGACAAATTGATGGGAAAATTGAAGCTAACGTCTGTTCTGTTTGGACATCAGAATCCTGGGGTTCCAGAGCCAGGACGAAATTCCCAAACGGCGGTCACTATTGTTAAAGCTCTGGTATGTGCATAAGATCGTCCTCGCTGCTCCCCACCTGGGCTGACAGTTCACTTCTCCTACAGGACAAAATATCAAAGCAAAATGTGCCCTCCTGTATGCTACCTACCTTTAGGGAGGTAGGCTCCCATCGAAGTTTTTGCCTTACAAGGACCGGCATGCCTGGGCCTGGGCCTGGTCGGGAAAGTGCTGTGCGGGGCGCCTTCACCCTAATATTAAAAAGGCAGTGTGAAAGGTCGGCCTTCCGCCAGCCTCCCAGGTCCACTCTGGGTGGAACCGCGGGAGGCAGAAGAGGATCACTTCTGTGGGTTGCAGGCCTGCGGTGCCCAAACCAGCACATCCTGGGCAAACCTGGACAAGTTGGCCACCCCCGCTGGTTGCTATAGAAACCCCCACCTTGGGCTGGGGCCCGTGCAACCGCGACCCGGTCCCTGGCTGGGGTGGAGTGGGGGAATCCCCCGCGGAGTCTCGCTTCGTCTTTCCGCCCGGAGGAAGCCTCCTCAAAGGGCCTTGCTCCCTGGAGACGCCCCCGCCCCCGCTGTCCTCCCCGGCTTCCGCCGCAGCGGCCCCGCCCACATCCTCACCCCTCCCCCACCGACCGCGACCAACCTCCACCACCAATCCCCCAACCCGGGAGGCCACGGCCCGGACCTGACGGATCCACCGCACTGCCCTCACCCCGCCAGGCCTGGACACCGCCCGCCTCCAGCCGCGGCCCCCGCGCGCCCGCACGTCTCCCCCTACGGGCCGCCGGCGCAACGCCACGCCCCACCGCGCCACGCACCGCGCCACGCACCGCTCCGCCGCGCACCGCCCGCACGTGCCACGCCCCCGAGCCGCACGCCCCGCCCCGCACGTGCCACGCCCCCGAGCCGCACGCTCCGCCCCGCCCCGCACGTGCCACGGCCCCCGAGCCGCACGCCCCGCCCCGTAGCGCGCGGCTGTCTGGCAGGCTCTGAGCTCTAGTTGGGGTGGCAGTCACGGTCATGGTGTCCGCAAGCTGGGGGGCGGGGTGGCGAGGTCGCGAGGCGTCGAAGTCAGTCCCCACGGTCCCCCTCTGCCCCCTGGTCTCCGCGGGGGCGCAGCCATTGGTCCCTCCAGGGCCGCCCCGGGGCCGCGCTGGGTCCCGGGGCAGCTGGGGCGGGGTGGGCCTCGCGGGTTTGCCCGTTTGCGAAGGTGCTCAGGGGGTCGCGGGTTTGAGGAGCGCCCTCGGCGAGACTAATGTAACCAGCCGGGTCCAAAATAAGTCAGCCGTAGCCGCAGGTTGACGTAGGGCCTGGGCGCGCGCCCGGGAGCCGTCCCCCGCTGGACTTTCCCTTCTTCGGCGGCAGCGCCCGCAGCGGCGTTGAGTGCGACCGCAACCGCGAGGCGCAGGTGGAGCGCGCGGAGGGGTCGGCGCGGAGGCGGGGGCCGGGCCGGGCGACGCCCGCAGGGTTTCTCTCCACCCAGGGATGCGTCCCTCGGAGCCACGCTGGTGCTGAAAAGGCCGAATGCGTGTGCCGGAGGGAAGTAGGAAGGGGGCGGGCGAGCGTTAGCACTGAATCAGCTGTGTGGCCTTGGCTAAGTTAACCTCTCTGGGCCTCATGGTTCTCCTGGGGAAGAGGAAAGGAGCCAGCTCTGATCCCTAAAGCCCCTTCAGCACTGGGAGGTTGTTTATGAAAGCAGAGGATCCCCTGGCCCACCCCTCTATAGCCGCTTCATGCATCCCGGCGCCCAGCAGATGTTAGGACATAGTATGTGGTCAGGCTGGCTAAAGCCCCCTCGTACTGCCAAGGACAAATCCCAACCTAATCAATCGCCATTCCCTCTCCCTTCAAGGGTATGGGCCTCCAGCAGGCCGCTAAACAAGCCCACCCACCCCTCATACCCTCCTTCCTTTCCAGCTCAGTTCAGTCTTACCCGGGTTCACTCCACGCTCTCCACTCCCTTTGACTCAGCATCTTCCTACAAAAGAACCCCGGAAAAACCCTAGTCCATTATAAGCCTGTTTCTTCGCACCTCCACCTTTTCCCACAAGTTCTCTTCCCAAGACCTCACCTTAAGGGACACTCAACTTTCTTCCCTGAACATCACTTCTTCCTTCCCAACCTTCACTCAAAAATACTCCTGAGCCCCAGTTTTCATTTCCAAGCCATTGTCCTACTAGGACAAAGCAACCTCTATTCTTTTGAAGTTCAGGCCATTTTAAACCATACTCTGCTTTTTCTTCCTCCTAATTGTCCTTCTCTTTCTCCAGGAAGGATGCACAGGTTTTCTTGAGGACTTCAGCCCTGTCTGATAGTTACGTTCTCCACCCTTAACCCCTTGTTGTCTCTCCTTAGAGGACCCTAACTTAATAAATGTTTCATCTTTTCAACTCCAGTGATCACCTCGGTCTCACGTTTGTTTACGCCCCCTGGATCTTGAAATGTCCAAATTCCTTCTTTGACCACATTGCCCATTTCCACCCTTACTTGAACCCATTCTTCGGTAAAATGCATTCATATCATGCCTGGTCTCAAAGTTTAAACTGAGAACATCAATGCATCACTCCCACTGTGCCTGAGATACTGCTTGGCTTTCTTGGACGTTGTGCCTTTTGACTGAATGCCTCTCTCCAGAGATCCCAAAAGTCAGTCAGTGTAGCACAGGGCTAAGATGGTGGTCTGGGTTTGAACCCTGGAACCCCTGTTCCAGCATCTATTTTTTAACCTTATGCATCTCTTCCCTGGTTTGTACAAGAGAGAGAAAAACAGCACAGACCTTCTGTAGTTTTAGGGATCAAATGAGTTACTTCGGACATTTTACCTTTTGATCCTTTGGCCATCTGATGCCCTGAGAAGCCTCGTTGAGCTCAGTGTTCACCTCTTCTGTAAAGTGCTCCCTAACGCCACCTTCTGCAACACAAAACTCCCTCCTTCTGCAATGTTCATTGCCTTGTGCATATTGCTATGGTTGTCCTTATCTCGATAATTGTAACTTAGATCTTCAGTGTCTCCCTTTCTAAACTGTGAGATACTTAAAGGTAAAGACTTTGATTCAAGGTATCTGGAACATAAAAGTTATTCATTGGCTTTTCATTCAACTCATGTATTCATTAACAAGAATTTTTTTTTGTTTTTTTTTTTCATTTCAACTATTTAAATTCACTTTCTGGGTAAAAAAAAAAAAGACTTTGTGGTTGCCCCCAAGTTTTAGAAGGATACCATATTGCTGTACAGTCTCAAAGTATTTAATACTTATTGTTAAAAAAATTTAGTATCCCATGTTCATTAAGCTTTATTTTTAGAATAAAAAGAATATGTATCATATATATAATATGTAAAGTATATTTATATAAAATTTTTCTCTGAGCCATTTGAGAGTAAGTTGCAGGCATGATGTCTCTTTACTCTTAAATACTCTAGCATATATTTTCCAAAACCAAGAACACTTTCATAAATAACCACAGTACAAGTAAAACACACCAGTATGAACTCATGTGATAATTGTACCTCTTCACCCTTTCCCCCAACCATTTCCCTACAATCTCTGAATTTTACTCACCAAGATTCCACTAGAGATCCATTTAGATTAGCAACCAATCTATCGTTCATTTTCCTAGTTCTCTGATTTTCTTTAAAAATTACTAAATATATGAAAATATTCCAAGTACATTTTTAAAAGCCAAATCATACTGACAGGGTTGTAATGAAAAGTAACAGCCCCACCCTATAGGCCAACTTCCAAGAGGCTCTCAGATGTTTCCCTTGGTATTTTTGTCTGTATTTCTGAACAGGATGCATATAATGAGATTTCTTGATCCATTGGTTTCAATCTATTGCTTTGTTGCCCTGATAGATGGGGGCTGACCTCTCTTACGCATCCTCACACTGCTCACCTCCCAATCTCTGCCGATATAGTTATATCACAACTTTGGATTGACTCTGTAGTCTGTGCTTCCATTATGATAATTATTCATTGTTTGCTGCAGAGCCAAGCAGTGTACTATGACCGTGCTTGCTTCCTTTTCTTTTAAAAATCTTTTATTTAGGGGCGCCTGGGTGGCTCAGATGGTTAAGCGTCTGCCTTCGGCTCCGGTCATGGTCCCAGGGTCCTGGGATCGAGCCCCGCATCGGGCTCCCTGCTCCACGGGGGGCCTGCTTCTCCCTCTGCCTCTGCTTCTCCCCCCTGCTCATGTTCTCTCTCTCTCTATCTCTGTGTCTCGAATGAATAAATAAATCTTTAACAAAATAAAAATAAAAATCTTTTATTCATGTATTTGGCCGGGGAGGGGAAACAGAGGGAGAGGGACAAGCAGACTCCGAGCTGCATGGGGCCCCTGTGCTTGCTTTCTTGTAGAACTCTTTATTTTCACCTGGAGTTAATCATCATTTCCTTTCTGTTATTTGATTGATTTTCTTTTTTAAATTATGAAAGATCCATTCACCAAGTTTCTTAGGCCTCCTCTAATTCTTTATTGTTAAAAAAATGCTTCCCCATCTCTGTTACACCCTTGTCAATACCTTCTACATAGGCTAAGCACATCAGTTGTTTGCTTCCGGGAGCCTTCCTTCTGCAGCTGTCCATCCCCTGCTCCCATCTGAACCGACCCTCTCTGGGCCTGCTGTGTAGCTCTCGCCCTGGGACCGCAACTGTACTTGTCTCTGTGGGACCGTTTCTCCTAAATTCCGCGTCCTCCACCTTCTTGGCTTACTCCCTTGGTTGTAGTAGCACATGCCCTAGATCCTTTTGGAATAAAGATACATAGAAATAAATACTTTGAAATCTTGCATATCTAAAAATGTTTCTAGTCTACCCTCATGCTTGACTGAGAGTTTCCCTGGACTGGTGTGGGATTTTAGGTTGAAAATCATCTTGCCTCAGCGTTGGGAAGGGTTTGTTCCATTTCTTCCTGACGCGCAATGATTTTGATTCCTAATCCTTCGTATGTTACCTGCTTTTTTTTTTTATTTTTAGTTTCTTTAGGAAGATCTTGGAATCTTCCCTTTCTCCTTAGAGTCCTGAAGAACTCTATGGTTCTTAAGTATATACATTTTTAAAAATTATGTATCTATTTATTTATTTTTCCAAAGATTTTTATTTATTCATTTTTTTTTAAAGATTTTATTTATTTATTTGACAGAGAGATAGAGAGCACAAGTAGGCAGAGTGGCAGGCAGAGGGAGAGGGAGAAGCAGGCTCTCTGCTGAGCAGGGAGCCGGACATGGGGCTTGATCCCAGGACCCTGGGATCATGACCTGAGCCGAAGGCAGCCGCTTAACCGACTGAGCCACCCAGGCGCCCCTTATTTATTCATTTGACAGAGAGAGAGACACAGCGAGAGAGGGAACACAAGCAGGGGGAGTGGGAGAGGGAGAAGCAGGCTTCCCGCCGAGCAGAGAGCCTGATGTGGGGCTTGAACCCAGGACCCTGGGATCATGACCCGAGCCGAAGGCAGACACTTAACGACAGAGCCACCCAGGCGCCCCTAAAAATATTTATTTATTTAAGTAATCTCTACACCCAACATGGGGCTTGAAGTCACGACACTGAGATCGAGAGT